TGATAAGTCGACATGCAGTATGTCGTACTGAGCTTCTGCTTCTCGAGCTTCCTTTCTACTACATTCCAGAGCTTCTTTTTCAATCACCCAACCAGTGGGAGGGGGCAATATTTTTGGAGATGATCCATACTTTTCAGAGCGAGGTGCTCTCTTTTTCCTTTTGGGCGTCCCGTACAGCACATAATAATCGAAAGAATGCCCAGATGGTTCCCCCAACAAGTCTACCTCACGAACTCCCTCTCGATACAGTTGTTTTAACAGAGTATTACGCGATACCCCTCTCCTTTTTCTTTCTGCCTCCAGATCAATTTCTTTTTCGATGTCTGTCATGCCATCATCCTCTTCATCATTATAGGCCTCTCCGAAAGCTTGGCTTTCTTCACATTCCAATACACACGCTTCTTCTTCTTTATCCTCTTCATCATTGTAGGCCTCTCCGAAAGTTTGGCCTTCTTCACATCCAATACACACGCTTCTTCTTCGTTATCCTCTTTATTCTTGAATTTGCTGGCTAGTAAATAATTATTAGCCATGACGGGAGGTAACGTACCAAACTGAATAGTAAGGGGTTGATCTGTATCTTTTTCATTCCTTCTATCTCGCTTAAATTTCGATTTCCCGGAAGAACTTTCTGGCAAGTCTCCCATTGATTTGCCTGTACCAGTCTCTTCACTGTCCCCGAGGACATTTTGGTTGGCCACTTCAGGTATCTTAGGCGCCTTAGTACGTGCCAATCCCTGTTGTTGCCTCATTTGTCCATAATTCCGTTGAAAACGCCTTTGTTGGGTTCTAGTCATCTCGTTGAAGGGCGTTACTCTTCCTGTATTATACTGGAATGAATGCCATACATTCGGTTGGCGAGGTTGCGGCATAAATGTTCTTACATTATTTGTAGGCCTGAACTGCCTCTTAAAAGGTGGTCCTCTATAGAATGACGTACCTCGCCCTCTAACTGGCTGTGCGTCTGAAATAAAATCAGGACGATGGTAACGATGTCTTGTTCCTGAGCTTCCTGTATTTGCACTCCTTCTCTCTTGCATCTGGCACATAGGACGTCTTCGTCCTGCTTGGGTTCCTTCCCTTTGATGCGTTCAAAAACACTAGGGAGTGTCTCAAAGTCCCCTTCTCCGTTATCTATGACCAATTTGAACTTTGGCAACTTGTTTTTAAATCCAGTTGTCACCATATTCACTCCAAGTGGTTGTGGGAAAGGATTCTCATCCACTGCCATCTTCTTCTTATCTTCGAACGTAATTCGCCCTGATTTTTCAACTTTAAAAGTCGGCGAAAAAGCTTTAGTTCGCCCTCTTGATTGAGTATCTGGCTGCCGAATGTTGAGCGATCTTCCCCTTCATTGCCTATGTTTACTTTGA